TGTCAACCTCGACGACCATTCAATAGACGATCTCACCCTAATCCCAATTGAGCGTATAGAAATTGACTTGCCCGAAGATGAAACTACCAAATTCCGTCAATCGAGGGAGGCCCATTGGATTGAGACATTGAATACAGCAAGACCTATAGGACTAAATATTCATCATAATGTAGGCATAGCACCCTTTGTTGTCCCGTTTAATACAACCAGCAATCGAGCAAGCAAGATAGTTCATGCCCACTATAAGAGCCTTCAAGAGAAATTCCCCCATGTCTATAAGCAGAAAATGATAGTTGCATATTCAAAAAATAAGAACTTAAATGATAATATTGTTCATAGTAAACTAAAAACAATCAGTACATAACAGATACTATACTTCTCGCCCATCGGGCGAGTTATTTTTTCTAATTTCAGATCAGAATAAGAACAGAAGAAAACCCAATATCAAGACCCTTAATCCTAATTTCTAAATAAAGTGTCTGCTCCACCCTAGGCCTGTACATTTGGGAGAATCAAACCCTCCCTTCCCCGAAATCTAAAATGGACTCGTCCACTTCTACCAGTATAGATGACACGACGGTGGTGTTGGCTGAGATCAACTCAAAACTAGACAGTAACACGAAAGATAATGAAACCGTTTCTATGGGGCTTTTCAAAAGTGAAATGCTGAAGATTCGTACTGAATTAAAAGATATCATTATAGACTCAATCCATGACTCACGTAAAGTTGAAAGAACTAGGCCTAGAGAAGTCAATATTGATGAATATTATGCTTCAACTTCAGCTGATCAGCATACCCATGGTCATGGAGTCAAACGTAAACACATTACTGACCCAGTTAACAGTGTTATACATGATCTATCTTCCTCTGATGACGACATCCAATTCACCCAAAACAGGTACAAAATACCAAAGTTATCACATCTGTACAAAGAAGATGGATCAGTCAATAGTGATAATGTGATATGTCAAATTGATGAACTCTTACAGGACAAACAGACATCTGATAAAGATTCAGACTTTGAAGAAAGTTTAGAACAGGAATACAATTTAAAAGAGAAAGTTGGGACAGAGATTAACCCAAAAGTGGCCAGTATTGTGACTAATTTATTCATTAATAATAAGTCTAAAGAGAATATTACAGATATTTTTGACAAGTATCTTAGACCTGGCAACCTTGATATACAATTACCAGATGTGAATGGTGAAATATGGGCTTTTATGAAGTCTGGAACCTGCACTAAAGATGTTAAATTCCAGAAACTTGGTAATAAAATTGTCAAGTGTACATATGCTGTTACAAATTTGACTGATCAGTTGATACAAATCAAAAAGAAATTTCCAGATGTTAACAAGGAAATGACTGAAACTGTAAAAAAGGCTATGGATTCTTTGACCCTATTAGGCAGTGTTTTTAAAGACATAAATCAAAAGAGACGAGATACGATTAAAATTGATTTAAATCAAAGAATGAAACCATTAGCTTATCCATCAAATAATGTGAACAATGGTACTTCTAAGAATTTATTTGGTGATGACTTAGGAAGAAAACTGAGAGATTTAAAAGACACCAACCAAGCCCTTAGTGCTCCATCATATAGTACCACAGCAAATAGTTTTGGATACAACAAACCAAACCAATCAAGATATGGAAATAACAATTACCATAACAGATCTAACTACAATGATAATAGAAGCCAAAAGTCTTTTTTAGATTACCGCAGAAGACCTCAGAATCAGAGGGGGAAGGGGAAGTTTACCCAAACATCCCAGAAAAAGAAATAGTTAATGACACACCTATTCTGAATTTTAATGAGGTAAGAATTTCAGATTGGGACAAGTTTAAAAACTTTGTCAAAAATGATTTGAATAATTGTTTACTAGATTATAAGGCTGGAAAATTGAAAGAGCATATCAAATTCTGGAAACAAATTACATCAGATAAGAACATAATTACAAACATTTTAGGT